TTTTTCATCAATGGCGCCAGACAGGGCCAATTGCTTCCAAAGAGTGGTAAGAATCTGGCTCTTGTTTCTGGAAATCAAAAGGACTAAATAGGTGCTGGGCTGCTGTTTTACAAGCACAAGACCGTTAATCCCCTTACCGTGGATACAACAGCACGTTGTTCCTTTTTAGATCACAAGACTTATCCTTGAATAATTAGGCAGAAGGAGAAATCCATTACATGTCCTACACCATTTAACTCAGAAAGAGAAAGCCTTGCCTGAGTTAGACTTTACCTTTCTTGCTAAAAATGATAAATTACCTAAAAGTTGATGTTTGAGTAAACTAGGCATATTAACTTTCCAGTTGACCTGGGAATTAGACTAAACCTTGGATTAGATTATAGCTTCCTTAGAAATTCCTTTCAACATTTTAAAATTCCTGTGAAACTGTTTTAGTAAATCTGGTCTAAATCATATTGTAAACAGTTGAAAACACTTGGTTGCCATCTTCAATCCAAGTTTCAGGAAAACCTCAAGTAACCTCAACTAATGAAACCAGAGCTTTCTCTTAACTTCATTTTTCCATCTATCTCCCATTCTGCTTCTAAAATAAATACAGCAATAGCAAAAAAAAAGCATTTAATATCAGAAACTGTGAATGATGATTTGGAAAGAGTTGTATTGTTGCTGTCACATTTGCTCTATCTTTCTACAATGTCTACCAGGGCTAGGTTCTTGGGTGTGGGCCTGGTGCAGTGTGGGACCTGGTCTTAGCCCTCATTCAAATCTTAGTGCCCAGCACATAGCAGGCTTTCAGCAGAGGTCACTTGATCCTGTGGCTCCAGCCACAGCAACATAGTTCCATGGGCTGACCTCGTGGACAGCAGTGAAGGAAGAGGTTGATGTTGCTCACACTGTTCCTTTTGGGCACTCTGTCAGCTCCTTCTCCCTCGCCTCTTGACAGCATCTGGGGCAGATGGTGTGGCTTTCCTGTCACTTCCGGCTACTAAGGCATCCAGGCCAGTCTAACCAAAGCTGCCTTCCTGCCTCTCACCTACAGCTGCTCTCCTTCAAGAAGTTCTGGCCAGAGCAGGGACCTGAGTGGCGGGCTCCCGTCATTTCCTCCGGGCTCCACTCCCTCCCTGCCTGTGTCCCCCTCCCCCATGCTTCATTCTCCTCGCTTAGGGACAGGAAAGCAAGATGATGGGGGCATGAGATAGATAAGGAAAGGCCAAATTCTTCTTCCTGGACCAGGGCCCTTGTGGTTCCCCCTGCTGTGAGGGGTCCTCTGTGGTGGTGGGAGTCCAGATGCTCTCCACTCAGAATGCTCCTGTGGAGCCTTCGGGGGCCCCTCTCGGGACCTCTGCACTGCACCTTCCCCTGACATGGGTGACATGCTCTGACCGACTTCCTCCACCCCATCTCAGCTCTGCCTCCAGGGGTGTACGCCTCCAGCCTCACTCTGCTGCCTTGCCTTGCCCTGTCTCACTTAAGGACATGGGCCCAATAGGCAGTGACTCTATCCTGTTCCCTTCCAAAGCCCCTGCTTGGCCCCAGGAATATATTCAAGTACAGACTGCTCAGAAAACTGCTCTCTTTCTCTCCCCAGTTACAGGCGCTCGAGCCAGCCTTCCACCATGAGACTTCTCCGGCTAAGAGGTAGCCACCAGTTTCTGTTCCAGGGACACTCTCAGTTGCTAGGGACACCATCATATTCTCTAAAACTCCAGCTACTACTACTGTAGTGGCAACTTGAGGGGGTCCTGAGAATGTCTGTAAGTTGGGGAGCATCCCTCCAGAAAATAATATGCCAGTCTCCCTTCTTAAAGACAACTGTATCCTCTATGAGCACTTCTCTACCTGACTTGAGGTAGGCAGGGATGCAAACAAGAATATCACTCCAAACACATCATCACTCGTAAGGAATGGGGACCAACTCATCAGCATGAACTCACTTGTCAACACCCTGGCTGGCTGCACTGGGGAATCTGCACAGGAACCCATTCCCAGCCCTGTTCAAGTCCTAAGGGAGTGGAAATGTCACAGCCCTCTCTGCAAGCCCACACCCTAATCCTCTCCGATCCTCTTAGGGAATCCCTGGCTTCTCTTCCACTGCCTGCCTGCGGTAATGGTAACTGGACCAGATCAGCTCTCCAACAAGACATCACTTCCTTTTTCATAGCCAAGCAAGCTTCTACTGTAAGTATATGCCAATTGTATGTTTCCAAATAGGAAGAGGCATGCTCAGGAGACAATGAGCTTTGTATCATTGGTGGTGATCAAACTTGATATAAGAGATGTTGTAGATATCGCCCTGGGTAAAAGGTGGGATGAAAGTGAGACTATTCATTATTCTGTTAATTACTTGAATATCTTTGTTTTTAATTCATGTGATTTGGTGTATTCTTTGTACTTTACAGTTTTCTGCAATATTAGTGGATAAACAATGGTGGGCAGGGGGAGACAATAAACAGTCAGTTCCCAAAACTTGGATCCTGAAGCTATCCTGGAAAGGAATATTTGCCACACTCCTTCAGTCTGCCCACATTGGCACCAAAAGATTTCTGGAAGGCGGCTTTGAAACTTAACCCATATGCCAAGCTACTGGTGTCTTCCATCCACCTGCCACACTGAAGAGAAGCGGCCTCTCCACAAAGCTATTTTCAATCCAATCTTGCATTATGTGGTGCCCTTTCCCATAGCTCTTCATGTAGGGGTGCAGCTTCCAATATGGCAGTGCATGTGGAATCCAGGCCAGCAGCTGAATTGCATCTTAAACACATCTCGCTTGTCAATTCATCCCCTTGATAGCAGTATCACCAGGACTCATACTGCCTGACTCTTTACAGAAAAATGTGTACTGATCCTCAGTCTAGTTTTGCTGTTTTGATTTTTACAACTGACACTGGCAACAAAAGCTTCTACTTTTGTTGAAGGTGCCACTACTTTCAATGGCAAAAACCACAATTAGTTTTGCACCAACCCAATATATATCCAGTGTACCCAATTCTTTTCTTTTCTTTTTTTTTTTTTTTGAGACAGAGTCTCACTCTGTCACCCAGGCTGGAGTGCAGTGGCACCATCATAGTTCACCACAGCCTCAAACTCCTGGGCTCAAGTGATCTCAGTCTCCCAAGTAGCTGGGACTATAGGTGTGTGCCACCATGCCCGGCTACTTTTGCATTTTTTGTAGAGACGAGGTTTCACCAGGTTGCCCATGTTGCTCAGGCTGGTTTCGAACTCCTGGGCTCAAGTGATCTGCCTGCCTCGGCCTCCCAAAGTTTTGGGATTGGAGGTGTGAGCCACTGCACCCAGCCCCAGTGCCCAGTTGTAAGTCAAACAACCTTTCAAATAAACTAGATCAGATATTCACAGACTCCTACAATGCTCCAGATTCTGAAGGAAGATATTTTAAAGGTAAACTCCCAAAAATCAATCTGAAATGTTATATATTTAAATTAAAATTTTCTAAGAATGGAAACACTTAATTTAACTTAGTCATGTACTAGGTGAAACATGATCATTGAAAGGAACTAACAGTGCCATGAACACAGCAATGTATAAAAACTTGCTTACAAGAAGGGCTAGAAGAAAATATAAAGAGAATATTTAAGGGGTTACCATTGTGAGAAAACCAGTGGCTTTTCTTCTTATTTTTTTCTCTGTTCAATTTTTTGTAATGTAATCACCTTATTTTTATTGAAAAAAGTTATTATAAATAGTTGTGAAAGAATGCTGCAGTTTAATGGCATGAAGTACAATATATATAATTTTAAGATCTATAAAACAGGAGTAGAACTTAGGGCGAGGCTTTGTTTTATTATATACCTTCTTTTCATTTTTTATATCATGTTAATATGTTATTTAAAATACATATATTAAAAATACTCATGTGGGTATACACAAATATGTATGTGTTCATTTTGCTCCCTCAAACTCCACTCTTCTGTTTCATTCTTTATATTCATATCCCATGCATCAGATATTATGGATGTGAGGGAGACCAATTAATAGTAATCATCTATACTGGGCCTTGAATTATTATAGAATGAAGACAAAACATTGTACAGATGGGAGACCAAAATAAAAGGCTAGTTTGGAGGATATGACTTTAATCAGCGGGCAAATTTTCTTCCTAATTTAAAAAAAATCCTGAAATAAATATATTCACCTCCATTGTCTCAAGTAGAGCATAACTGAGGCAGGTATTGTCCTGTACTGGAGTAATACACACAATATTTAACCCCCCAAATAACATGGCACCTACTAAACGCTCCTCAGCTGCAAACCGCAGGTACAGCCTTAGGGTGTATGTACCTGTGCATGCAGGGCCTGGTTCTGTACTTAGCTAGGGAGTTGTACGAGAGATGCCTGCTATCATTTGGGGATGGCTACCTCATAAGGAGAAAGGAATCCATGCCCAGGTTCTCCTTGCAGCTCACCAATCACATAAGTCAATTTACCTCTCAAGGGGAGGAGTGAAGAAGGGAATAGAGACAGACCAGGAATGTTACCCTCACCACAAATAGAGAAAGAAGGAAACATCATAGAGAAGATTCCTCCAGAAGAATAGACAAAAATATAAAATTATTAAAAGTCATATTAAGTGCTTTTAAGAAAATAAACAAGGTACTATGATAAATACCAAGAGTGGAAAGAACTTATACACACTTAGGTTATTTTCAAAATAAGAGTAAAATTCTTTGGTATCTATCTGCAAGAAAAATTATATATACATATATGTATATACACACACACAATAGAATTGTAGAAAGCTTAGGATATATACCTGCAATTTTGAGGGATATTTATCTTCATATTACCTATTAAACAAAGAGCATTGTTGGAACATGATATAAACTATAAGATGAGTTAGATTATAAAAGTTATTTTTAAGTTTGGTAAAAATGTGAATCTCTTCGAAAAATTAGCTTAATATTTTCAAGATCAAGGTTTGAAATAATGCACTATCTCAAATAATACTGTAAATAATCAGTTAAGATTTCTCATTATTTGCTTACTCTGTTGCTTCTCTGTTGGGAACTTTTCTCATGGAGAAAGCTACCATCGCTTTGAAGAGATATTCTTCACTGGTATCCCAGGCATACTGAAAGAGAAGGAAAACAAAGTGTATGGGGGCAAATATGGTCCATTGGTTCTAACTGTACCCACAGTGGTTCTCCCTCCCTCTCGCTCTCTCTACACACACACACACATACACACACACACCCCGCTTTCTCATACATTAGATACTGGAGACCATGATAAATTATATCCCCATAATGTTTGGGGTAGGGTTTCTTGGACATTCTAAGTTTGGTGTATCTGCTGTTGCACTATCTTCCTAAGAACCTGCAGCATCAGTAGCCAGCCAACAAACAGGGCATTTGGACATTTCATCCTGGCCATATATAGTCCATTTTCATTTCCTTCCTCCCTTTCTCTTTTCCCTCATAAACTCCCTCCCAGTTGCCTTTATTAACATCAGTACAATTTTTTAAAAATTTTCTTAGCCAGAAACTCGAATGTGTGTGCACATTATGGGCTGAATTTTGTCCTCACCAAAAAAATGTCATGTTGAAGTCCTAACTTGCAATACCTCAGAATGTAACTCTATTTGGAGACAGGATCTTTGCAGTGGTGATTAAGTTAAAATGAAGTTGTTGGAGTGGGCCCTAATCCACTATGATTGGTGTCCTCAGAAGAGGAAATTTGGACACAGAGGGAAGATGATATGAAAACACAGAGAGAAGACGGCCATCTACATACAAGCCAAAGAGAGAGGCCTGGAACAGATCCTTCCCTCACAGCCCTCAGAAGGAACTAACCCTGTGACATCTTCACTTCCAGAACTGAGAGAAAATAAATTTCCGTTGTGTAAGGCACCCAGTCTGTGTTACTCTGTTATGGCAACCCTAGCAAATTAATATAGTATATTTGACTCACTCTGCTCCTTAATGCAGCAAATGCAAAAAGCCTGAGGCAAAAAAAAAAAAAAAAAAAACTGAGCTGTTTAGGGACCATGAAGGAAGGTAGCAACTAAAGCAGAAGCAGGAAGGGAGAAAGTGGCAAAAGCTGAGGGGAAGAACTTGGTGATGGTGGGGGTTGGTATATCACAAGGACATTGTCAGGATTGGAGTTTCACTCTGGGATGGGGAAACATATTTTTCCGTTACTGCCTTTCTCCTCTTTGGTGGCAGTGAGGATAGTAAGTAAAAACAAATGACTCCTAAATAACAACAACAAAAAATGTATTACTCAGTTACCTTCTCTGGATAAGGTTTATGACTGTGCTGTACTTTTTCCTTTCTCCTAAATATTTTCATAACATATTCTTTTTTTGGAAAGGAGGAAGGATGGGGTCTTGCTGTGTTGTCCAGGCTGGTCTCAAATGTGTGGCCTTAAGTGATCCTCCTGCCTTGGTCTCCGTAACATAGAACCTTACACTTTCTTCAGTTGCTTCTTCCACTTCACCATTTTCTCCTTCAGTACCACTTTATGTAACTCTGCTGTAAGATGCTACCATAAAGAACAGAAAAGGGGGACAGGAGTGGAGCTCGAGCCTGTAACACTTTGGAAGGTCAAGATGGGTGGATCACTTGAGCCCAGGAGCTCAAGACTAGCCTGGGCAACATAGTGAAACCCCATCTCTACCAAAAAAAAAAAAAAAAAAAATAGCCGGGCGTGGTGGCATGTGCCTGTGGTCCCAGCTACTCAGGAGGCTAAGGCAGGAAGATTGCTTGAACCTGGGAAGTGGAGGTTGCAGTGAGCCAAGATCATGCCACCGCACTCCAACCTGGATGACAGAGTGAGACCCTGTCTCCAACAACAACAACAACAGAAAATGGAAATGGAAAAATCACTTTTCTCACATGCAAATGTTAAATACTGCATTTTAATGTCAACTTTAGGTCTTATTTGAAGTGCTCCTTCAATCTTTCAATGTGAACTTTTCATTTGATATTATACTATGAAAGTTTAAAAGTAACTGATTCATGGCATAGCTTTGTTTTTGATAATGTATTTGTTTCCAAAATTAATTTTATTCAGAATAACAGTAGCTATGATCTAACCTAATAATAAATGAATAAAACATGAAGAAGAAATGGATCTGATTAAAAATAGCGCAGAAACACTATTCAGACAGGGAAGGCTTATTAACAGAATGCAGACACGAGGAATAAGCCTGCTCAAGAACAAACGAGAATAATAAGCTCAGTGCAGAAAATGAAAACAAAGATGTTAGCCAGCTCTCCCTGGGACATGAATTTCAGTTGCTTTTCAGATCTTGGCAACAACTTGACCTGATCTCCTGTTCTTCCATTTGTCCGTCTCAAAAACAAGAGCTTAAGCTGGCTGGGTAGGAGTCCAATTTTGGTCACAGAACAAAGCTCCAAGCTATTTAGATCAGAACAGGACTGATGCAGTTCTAGATTGGGTTGGGTATCCTGCCAGTGGAACCAACTTATCTTGGGCAAGTGTGAAAGGATTGAAAGCTTATGCACTGGATGTAGTGTATTTCTCCTAGGGCATTCAAATACTTCAAAGAGACAGCCTCCATTTATAAAAGGAATTGGGCACATATACTAATGAGAAAATGTACAACTTAAGAGAGGATAAGGTAAGAGTTACTAAGGCTAAACATTTGTGTACTTTATGATCCATTAATCTACTCCTGGGTAAATATTCCCAAAAAGAAAGCATATGGAAAATACATATATAAGAATGTCCATAGCAGCTTACCTACCTGTTGTGCATATACTTGACACATAATAGGTGCTCAATGTGAAATTGAACACATCTTTATATCCCACGTGTGGCTTCACAGACCAAGTGGTACAAGTTAATTGCATACATTTATCTACCAGTTCAGATTCCTTGGTTCCTCATTTCAATAACACGTGCCAGGACCTTAAATGCCCCAGCTCACCTTGCTTTTTGCACACATCTAAGAACACTCAAACTATGGCTAACCCCACATTTTAGGTAAGTTATTGGCATAACTAGAGAAAATTACAAAACAAGGTTAGTTGGTTTAACTCTAAATTCATGATGACCTACCCCCAAATTGCCTGGTAATCCCTAAGGTTTCACCACCAGTTCTCTTTCTCATGGGTCACATAACTATTTCAAACCACTCTCTAGAGAGAGAACTGATGGTCAACGTTTTTTGTTTTTTGTTTTTTTTACCATTTTTTCCAAAGTTTTCCCTCAAACCTCACTTTCATTAAATGGTTTTGCTTCATAATTTATAGATATATCTCATCAATTTCAACTCTCCCATCCTCCTGACATCAAGATACAACACTTCCTCCATAGACACATGTCTTAGCCGCCTCCTCTCCTGAAGTGCCAGACAGAACTATGCCTATCAGTGGCCATTTCCGTCACTTATATTAGGAATGCTTCTCCTCTGCCCTTCTCAGATCTAAACAATATCAGTTCCCCTCCTTTCTGTGTATTTAACTCTGACTGGAGTCTGTTCATTGTCTTTTAAACAAGCTCAACACTTTCCCATTAAAGCAACAGCAAAAACAAACCACTTTACTCAGTCTTCCTTTCTTCTACCTACTGCTGTCTCTTTCTTGCCCTTCACAGCCAAAATTCTCCCAGGAGTTGTCCACACATCTGTTTCAACATGTTCACCACTCATTTATTTTTTAACTTCCCACTACCTGTCTTCCAGCAACTCCACCCCATGAAAAGAGCTCTTTCTAAAATCACCATTGACCTCCACGTTGTCTAACACAATCAGCATTTTTCAGTTGCTTTCTGGCTTGGCCTTTCAACAGCATTTGATGCTCTTGAACACTCCCTACATCTCAAAACGAAACTCCCTAACACAGCCCACATATTCCTTGGCCTTCCCGCTCCTCTCTCTCTAAGCTCATCACCTGCCATGTTCCTCCTCATTGCCCCAATTCCAGATATTTCTGCCCTCTTTCTAACCTTTACTCTCACCAAGATCCTTCCTGTGATAAACCTTTGCACATGCTGTTCCCTCTGCCTTTCCTTCTTTCATTTCCTGGTTCACTTCAACTCATGCTTCAGACGTCACAGTAAGTGCCAGGTATTGTGGTCCTTGACAAAGCTGAAGTGCCCTTGTAATTCTTCCCGTAATACTTGTCAAGATTGCACATTTGCATTTGGTTTACTGAATATTTAATAGATTACCAATTCTACTACTACTATAAGCTCCACAAGGGTAAAATCAAGCCTTAATCACCATTACATCCCAGCATTCAGCATGGTACCTGCTATTAGAGGATACTGGGATGGCCAACCATGCACACTAGTAGAGACAGTGTATTCTGCACTCAGACTGCCTGGGCTCAAATCTTACTTCTGCCACTTGATGACTTGAAATATTGAGCATGTTACTTAATTTCTTTGAACCTCAGTTTTCCCATCCATTCGGTGGGAATACGAATACCTGTACTACTACCTTCCTCAAAGCATTGTTGTGAGGGCTACATGATTTGATAGGAGTAAGGTGCTTAGAAGAGCCCCAGCTAGAAAGTAAGATAAGTTCTCAATAAATGCTGGCTGTTACAACAATCATTACCCATTGAGTAAATAATAAAATAACAAATTGATGAATTGGCCTGCAAACAGAATACCTCTAAGTTTCTTTAGCACTCTTTTTTCTGTTTCCAGCCTGAGACATCTTAATACCAACTTCTATTGGGGAAAAAATTTTGCAGACCACACTGGGAAACTGAAACTAGAATCAGACAATACTGTCTTTTTAATTCAATGATCTTCACCATTCCTATAGCCACATGGGCCCTATGACTAGTTTTTAAACTTCTATTTCATAAGCATATATTTCATATGTTACTTTGATAATTGAGAATAATTGAAGAAACTTCATGTTTGAATTGGAAATTTTTTGTGCTATGAAAGACTTTATGTGGGTAGAACCATCCCTTCTTTTCAATGAGTACAAAATCGAGGCTAACAAAATTCAAATGACCACAACGGTGAGGAGTAGACCCAGTCTAGACCTGAGCGACTGAGTCAGGCCACTTGGCTTCACTATCCCAAGTTGAGATGCCGGTTTTTTAAGTTGTTTTGTGTGGCACAAAACTTCACATATTGTCTAGCATACACCACCGATTAAATACTTTAGGCGAACCTACTTTATTAAAAATTCATATTATTCTATAATCTATCTTTAAGAGAAGATCAGATTTGAGGTCTTTAGAAATAATTTATTCAAGATTAAGGTAACTATGCAGACAGGCCCATTATTAGAGAAAGCACAGTGTTATTAGCAAACAAAATTTTAAAAGAACACTCAGGTGCTCCACTTACTGCTTTATTTCCCAGAGCTGTTCTGATACTAAGTCTCACTTTAAAAGCATTTGCTGCACCTGCCAGAAAGAAAAAAGAAACAGCAGTATATGATGATTAAGATCTGCCAAAACAGAGTCTGAAAAATCCTAATATGTAATGCAACTCAAACTAATGGAACACAGAACTACAATTAAACTGCCCCAAATACTCCTGGAAGTTTAACCTAAATCATCTTAGACGGTTTAATATTTTCTTTCAAACTCATTAAACACTCACCACCCCAACTTTCAAGCCACAACATGTCTGCAGATTTAGAAAAATAAAGAGTTCTTTCAGTCAACGACTTGTCAAACATGTAGAAAACTGTTCATCTATTTTTAAGTTTCAAGGCTACATACCTGGTTGACAGAGTTCAGCATGAATAGCAGTCACCAGAAAAAAGAGCAGCCACAACATTCTTTCAGGGTGGAAAACACAAGGCAAAGTGAGAAAAAAAAAAATCCACGCTGCACTTAAATCTGCCTTAGCCATTCTGTGACCCGGATTAGAATATCAGAGAAACAAGCGAGCCACCACCTAAAAGGTTTAATGATTAACACCCATCATTTGGGTTAATACTTCCATAAAAACAGCCCATCTCCTGTCAGTTATTTATGAAAACTTGTTTGGAAAACAGATTAATGGTTTTCCCCACGCTGACTCTACCTCAAAAGAATGTCTCCTTTGCTGACTCAAAGTTGGAATCCTCCCCGACCCCTTCTGCAATTCTCTGGTTAGGTGCATCATGGGAAGAATTGAGTCCTGTCTAGAGGTTTTCTTGGCATGCACTTCTCACCTTTTCGAGGCTGAGATACCTGGTTCATAGACAGACTATCTTCATTCAGGAAACAAACGTGACTCCTTTCTCTCTGGTAAACAAAGGGTGCCCTTCCATGAAGGGCCTCACCTGACTCTCACCACAGCGGGTGAACATCCCAGGAGAGCTTCAGAGCTTCCTCTTACCTACTTGAGGGTAGAGGGTGGGAGGAGGGAGAGGATCGAAAAACTACCTATCGAATACTATGCTTATTATCTGGATGACAAAATCTGTACGCCAAACTCCCGTGACACACAATTTACCTATATAACAAAACTGCACACGTACCTGCACATTCACACATAGGGAATGATTGTGTTTACCCCTGAGGTCTGGCACTTGAATTAAATCAAAGTTAATGATACACAGCAGCACTGTCCAAGTGACATTCTGTGTCGACGGGAATGTTCTGTATCTGTGCTATCCAATATGGTAGCTAGTAGAGGTAGGAGGCCACTGAGCACCGGAAATGAAGCTAGTGTTGCTGAGAAATTGAATTTTTGTTTAATTTAATTTAAGTAGGCACAAGTGGCTACTGACTACATTGGTCAGTATAGCAATACAACAGTAATTAAAAGTTACCCACTCTGAAGTACCTTCACTGGGTTATTTCTCTAATCCTCAGACACTTCACAATTGTTGTTATCATCATCTCACATGGGAGGGAACTGAGGCTCCAGCGTTGAAGTCATTGGCAGCAATGGGATGAGTGGGATGGGTGTCACTTTACCAGCTGGGTTGACTTACACTTGAACCCTGTCTCCACCACACCCAACTGCTCTGCGTCTCTGGTCATCATTGGTCAAAACTGGAATTGACCAAATACCACATAGTCTCACTGATAAGTGGGAGCTAAACATTGAGTACACATGGACACAAAGAAGGGAACGACAGACACAGGGACCTACTTGAGGGTAGAGGGTGGGAGGAGGGAGAGGATCGAAAAACTACCTATCGAATACTATGCTTATTATCTGGGTGACAAAATAATCTGTACACCAAACTCATGTGACACACAATTTACCTGTATAACACACTTGCACATGTACCCCTGAACCTAAAATAAAAGTTATAAAAGAACCCTGAAGTTGCAACAAAATCTCAGAGATGCTCTGAGAATTAAGATAATGAGTGTAAAAGAATCTTTACCCGGTGGGCATTCCACAGATGCCAATCAATGCCCCGCCCAGAGGTTGATGTCAGGGCTTTCCTCTCTACCGTTCTGCCTCTTCATAAATTCAGTCCCCAAATTCCACCCCGTTCCTCAAAAATCATGAATGGCAGAATTAGATTGGGTGACCCTGGTGTTAAATAGAAACATGAATTTCCAAAGCAACAATGAGGAAAATATCAACAATGAGACTTCTGCAGCACTTTGAGAAACACATCATTTCTCCCTCCTTGTAAGGGTGGTATTTTATTGTAAAGGACCCATGTCTGTCAGCTAAATCCAGCTGAAGAAGCTTTTTCTCATCTCTTTCACCTTGGTTTCAAGGACATGGAGTCAGGAAAAGCTGTACTAAAAGGAGAGGCAGCCACAACTTGGTGCAGCCATCCTAGAAATGTCACTGTATTAGGTGCAGTGGAAATTTCCAGAAGGAAGAGCTCACCTAGCTAACATCTGAAAAAAATAAAACTAGACTAGATGAAGTCATCTTGGGAAATGTTAAACTAGATAAAGTCATCATGGGAAGGAAAAGTCAATACACATAGAGATTATAACAAAGCATTTTACTTACATCAAGGAAGAAAGATATGCTAAGGACATAGAAATCTACTTCAGTGGCCGGGCACAGTGGCTCACAACTGTAATCCCAGCACTTTGGGAGGCCAACGCAGGTGGATCATGAGGTCAGGAGTTCAAGACCAGCCTGGCCAAAATGGTGAAATCCCGTCTCTACTAAAAATACAAATAATCAGCCGGGCGTGGTGGCAGGCGCCTGTAGTCCCAGCTACTCAGGAGGCTGAGGCAGAGAACTGCTTGAACCCGGGAGGCGGAGGATGCAGTGAGCCGAGATCGCACCACTGCACTCCAGCCAGGGCAACAGAGCAAGACTCCATCTCAAAAACAAACAAATAAATGAGAAATAAGAAATCTGCTTCAGTTTTCCTTTAGCCTTACACTTCATAAAAGTATCAAGTGGCTTTCTTTGGCTTTTACTTAGTCATCTATGTAACTAGGGTTGAAGACAATAGAACACTGAGTCTTAGTGTAAGTCATTCATTTGAGAAGACAATCTCTTGTGAATGATGGTTTCTCAATGTTTGTTGCATCATCTTTTTAAAAAGAGCAATAGAAATTCTTTTTAGAAAATACAAAGAAGCACAAGGAGAAAAGTAGAAATCACCTGTAATTCCACCAGTGTCAACGAATGATCAATGTTAATGTTTTCTGAATATTTGGAATATACCTTTCTGCCTTGTGCTTTCTTTTGTGTGTAAATATATGTACATTTCTTCTTAAAAACAAAACTGGGGTCATGCTATTATGCAGCTTTGTCGTCTTCGTTGAACTTAACTGTGTTTTGTTGTTGTTTGTTATTGTTGTTTTTATAGAGACAGGATCTTGCTGTGACGCCCAGGCTGGAGTGCAGTGGCACCATCTTAGGTCAGTGCAGCCTCGATCTCCTGGGCTCAAGCAACCCTCCCACCTCAGCTGCTAGAGTAGAAACATAGAAGTCTGCTTCAGCTTTCCTTTAGTCTTGCATTTCTTAAAAGTGACAAATTTCTTCATAACCTTTTAGTCATCTATGTAACTAGAATCGAAGACAGTGAAATCTTGAGTTTTAGTCAATGTAAGCCATTCATCTGAAAAGGGAAGATAATCTCTTCTTATTTCATTATGATTTCTCAATATTTGTTTTCTCATTTTAAAAGTGATTGAAAAAAGCAATAGAAATTCTGTATAGACAATATAGAGAAGCAAAAAAAAAAAGTAGAAAACATCCATACTACTACCAGAATGGATGACCAATGCTAATATATTTTCATAGTTAGAATGTGCCTTCCTTAGCCTTGGATCTCTTTATATGTTCTGGTGGGATGTTGTTTTTTCTCACTGCAGTGGCACTATCAGAACAAAGTAATATAATGATGGGAATAAGATGCACCATTGTCGTCTTCTTTACTCTAATGGGAATGCTGCTACTCCATGGAATCTGGCAAGTGGCTTTAAAAATGATGTGTCATGTGATAAAAGCATTATATTTGTAATTACAAAAAATTATTTTCCTCAGTAATTGGTGTTGCATTTCATCAACTGCCTTTATACTATTAAAATTTTTACCATTTGGTGTACTACATTAATACATTTCTCACATTGATTCAATTCTTAGACAAAACATTTAAAAAATTTATTTTTAGCATGCTGCTGGAATTAATTCCTGGTTTTTCCCCTATGGTTTTTAAACCTATTTTCTTAAAAGAATATCACGTAGGTTCCCTTTCAAGTGCTGATTCTTGAAGGTTTTTTTTTTTTTTCCCTAGCCTTTACCATCTTGAAAATGATACAGAAAGATTTCTAACACTGTCTATGTTTAGAAATACGTATAATGTATAAGAAATAAAGAGTTCACAGATGAAGAATCTGGACCATGTGTGTTTTAGAGGAAGAGTTCTTCAAAAATTTTTCACTTCTTACATGATCATTTATTTCAGGTTTTATACCTCTTTCTGAGTCCATTTCGGCTGTTCACAATTTCCAAGAAAATATTCTGTTAAGATTTTCTAGTATTCTCATGGACTTTATAGAATATTTCCCACAAAATATCTACTTTTGTTGCTATGTTCTCTTTATGTTTTCTAATACGTGTATTAATTTTCTCATTTCGATTATATTATCTATTTTTTGTTTAATCAAAGATGATGATCTTGGATATAATTTGCAATTCTTTCTGTTTTTTGATTCATAAATCTTATTTATATTGGTTACATACTGTAACAAATTCATTGCTAAATAGTTTGATGGAGATCTCAGTAAAATAAATGGAAAACCAAACTAGATACTAGGATTCTTGCCTCTCAACATACTATATTTTCTTATACTTTTCAAAGTCTTGTACAAATACAGTGCTTGTCTTAATGCACAAATTTTAAGTAGTAAGTTTCCAGAGCCTTCATATATGTGTAAATTGCTTCATAAAATGCTCATTTCGGCAATTTCACATATGGGAGCTTCATAATTTATTAGTAACCATGGTAATGATGACAAATAAAGCAGTTTCAATCATTCTGAATATGTTACTATTTACTTCCAAATGTTCCGAGTTCAGAGCATGTAGATTTAAAAGTTCAGATTACTGTTGCCATGAGCCACACAAAAGGGCACTGAGTCTCCTGAGATGGGAAAACGAAATTGATTTCTCCGTGTTTTTTATACTCCACAACACTCTTGAAAAGCACTTTCTGAGCACATAACTATTGATCTACCGCTCTGGAGCAAATAGAATGACATCACATGAAAAGAAAACATATGTGTCGTTCTTTTGATTCATGCAAGATCCCTTGTTAAGTTCACCAGATTTGTATAAATATGTGAGCACACGTAGGCTCCATTCACCTGCAATAAAGCAAGAGGTGGAGATAACAAATGTTTCTTTTAAAATTGACCCTGGTTATTTTGTTTCATTATCACAAACAGAAATGTAGTAAATATATAGCTCCTAAAATTAGTAAACTGTAAAACCATCTCAAATGTGACATTATTCTCTATATTTTTATTGGATTTTCAGAAATGTATCTGGCTGTAACACATTAAAAGAAATCAATTAAAACTTTTAATAATTGAACATAGAAACTTCGTATGATTTTAAAACTTCACACTTTTTGCAACTGGGTGTGGTGGCTCATGCTTGTAATCCCAGCACTTTGGGAGGGGGAGGCAAGTAGACTGCTTGAGTCCAAGAGTTCAAGACAGGCCTGGACAACATGGCGAAACCCCCTCACTACAAAAAATACAAAAATTAGCCAGGCTTGGTGGCATGCACCTGTGGTCCCAGCAACTCAGGAGGCTGAGGCAGGAGGATCACCTGAGCCCAGGGAGATTGAAGCTGCAGTGAGCCATGATTGTGCCACCACATTCCAGTCTGTGTGACAGAGCGAGACTCTGTCTCAAAAAAAACACACACACACACACACACGCACACCTTTGGACGTTTTAATATCTTAATTAAATGGCTCTACTCAATGATTTTCTAAATGTTGTAGAATTTTAATAAATGAGATCCTTCCTTGTTTAAATTGTAATGAAATGGATATACTATATATATATATCTATAATAAACAATATCAAGGTGTTTGTATTATTAATAATTTATACAGTGTTTTCAGTATAATTAGGTAGCAAAAATAATTTTATTCTCTTTAAATTGTCAGTGTTAAGATGCATGGAGAGACAAACTATTTTTGTCTATTGTGCATAAGTTCTATTTTAACTCAGTGGTTTTCAGCTGGGGGTGATTTTGTGCTCCAGAGACACTTGGCAACGTCTGGTGACATTTTTAGGTGTCATGAACGGCAGAAGAGAGGATTTCTACTGGCATCTAGTGGGTGGAGGCCAGGGATGCTGTGAAACACCCCCACAAACTTTAAAAACATCATTTAGGTAACTCTTTTCTTCTTGTAGTTGAGTTAATGGAAATAACCCACACATGGAAGAACAGAAGAAAAAAGGGAGACAAATGTGTGTGTGTGTGTGTGTGTGTGTGGTTTTTCTAAGGCTAAGAATGTAAAAATATACACATCACAATGCATTTCATGGTACTTAATTTCCAGTCACAAGCTTATTACAACTTCAGTTTATGATTCAAATTAGTCAACTCAGTTTTCAACTATCATATTCATGAACTATGAGAAATGCAAAAATGAACCAAATATAGTCTCTGCCCTTCAGGAACTTACAAGTTTGTAGGACACAAAAGTAAATCATGATGGCAATAGATGCATGTACAACTGTGAACAAAATGCTGTGAACAAAATGCTGTGAACACTGGATAAAGAGAGGATAAAAAGTTACTGGATTTGACAAGTCAATTATAAAACTGTACAAAAGAAAAATAAAAGAAAGGTTTCTCAATGATAATCAAGACAGACCTGGAACAATGGCAAGATGTTTAAAGGTAAAACATGAAAGCCCACCGGATCCAAGTTAAGGAAATCTGAAAACAAACACAAAGGACAGATACAGGATATGGCCAACAGCAGGGACTTGCTGGTAGAGTGGTTCAGAGGAAGATGGGGGAGGGAGCATCAGTGTAGATGCATCTGAAAAGCCAAGTTGGGCTCCGATCTTAAGAGGACAGAGTTTGGATTCTCCAACAATGGTCCTGAGAGGCTAATGAAGATTTCAATGTGGGAATGGCTTTATTGTAAATGACAGGGAGAAAGACAATGGGAGATGGGAAGGACATTCCCTGACAGTGAGTTTCCAATGTGCCCTTTATTTACCAATCATAGGCTGTTGGACTGGCAGCCCACTATGTGCCCACAACTACAAAAAACAGGAAATTATGTTTCATTGGCCATCTTAAGAAAAAGATAAATGAGCTTATTTTAATAATAATTTTAAAACATAGAACAGATGCTGTTACAATCTTATAGTATGCCTGCTTTTATGCGCACGCACACACACACACACACACACACAATTTCCAGTGTCCTTGGGAAGCAAGGAACTCTATAATGTGGAATATTTTTGTCTCCATCCCATATCATATCCCCTTTTTAAGATGAGAAACCATATTAAGCAAGGATATTCGAAAAGCTCATCAAATTTTGTAGGTTAATCAGTAGCCATAATCATTATGAACTTTGTCTTATTCTTCACAAGTTAACATTTTTCAACTTCAGAGAAAGTTAATCACTACTATTTGGAAATAAAAATTAATTCAGACCAACTGAGTGAGTGTAATTCTGCCAACTTTATGCTCCTAAAGTAGCAATGTAAAGGACAGTTTCTTAAATGGGATGTATGTGTGTCTGTGTGTCTCATCTTGTGCACAGAGACTAATACTTTATAGCGGGTCTCATGTAGTAAAAGCAAGACATTTCTATTACAGGTTTAGCTGGTTCCACTGTTGCTCAGGTGTAAGAGTTTTCTCATGAGTTGGCAAGTCAATTTTCTCTTTCTACTAGGCTAACAGTATTGTAGCCATGGTCTATGAAATAGTATTTTCCATCCTTAATCATTGATTTGCTCGCCAGCTGGAGGTCACCCAGTCACATTTAGCCCTGACAATAGGTACTTCTTTTGCCAACCTCTATAAAGGTTGGGGGCGGGGGCGGGATCAGACCACATCACTTCTAGTTTATATGCTCCCATTAATATTAAAGACATATGAATTAATCAATATCTCAGAATTTCTGCTCCTAAGTTTTGGCCAGTGATGATGCTGAACCCTCTACTGTCTGAAATTCATCAAAAGTCTTATGAGAAATGATTTTGTGGACAGCCTAAAAGATGTGCACAAGAGATCCCTATTACTACAAATCAGAGATGACGGGTTGTTGTTTGCAGCCATTTGCTCATTCCACACCCATGACAAAATTTTATCTATTTCAGAACTTTTTCCTTCTGTGCATGGACTCAGCCACCCCAACTGAGCTATTCAGCCAACTAATATGAATAAATGGGAGTTGACATGTGAGCTGAAGCTTATGCGCCATTATGGGGAAAGATTATCTAAATGCTAACCTGAATTAAACCAGACCATTGTGGGGCTGTGTACTCAGTTGAACAGGAAATTTTGGATGGTTCATGAAATTGATTCAGTGCCCTGTGTTTTGTGATTATGCCAAGTTTCCACTGAGGGAATGTGGGTGTAACAACGTATGACACTTATTTCCCACGTAGCTCACAGCGTCATCATGATGAGGAACTGGGATTTGCCTTGGTGCTAAAAATTACTTTTTAAAAAAAGTGCTTCTCAAAAGCAAACAAAATCCTGATTGACTGGTTTTTATGAACACTGTAAAACTTTAAAATACTTGTTATCTCCTGTTTTCTATGAAAGCTTAGAGTGAGATCTCTTGCCCACCTTCAATAACTCTTCTGGATCTGAAAGTGTGCATCAGTGTTAATCTCACCATTGGCTACATTATTTATTCTTCCTCCATGAATTTCCCCTCTGGTTCCTTAACCTATAATACTTATTTTATACAGTGTTGCCTATATTTTGATATGCAGCCTCAAATCATCTGGGAGAAAATAATGCTATAAATAATGTTATAAAAATCAATGCAGTAATTTACACAGGCCGCACTTGGCCCTATTTCCGGTGTGTTTAATTTTTCATGCAAAAAATGATTAGCATTGGAAACATTTTATATAAATGAGATAGAGTTCTTAGAGCCAGGGTGAGCTTAATAAAAAATGTTTTGTTGAAAATTGTCTTTTACTCTGTGCTCCTTGTAGCTCAGTATTGTGAAACTTCCACTGTTTTCAAAGCAGAAATGGATGGAAGGTGGGAAGAGAAGGGAACTTTTACACTTTATATGTGATCATAAAATCTTGATTGCTGGCATATGTAGAAGTGTATATAGTAAATCTCACTGCCATGGAGGGAAAAATTGTAGTCCTCTATACAAGTGAAAAGGGAATACTTTAAATGAAGATTGAGAATTTATTGTGAAGGGAGCTGTACTAACTGCTATAAAAGTGGCTTCCTATGTTTGCTGCCCCAAAATACTCCTGCTAATTAGAACAACAAACCAGCACTTAACAAGTCCTTTTCCACCTATCAACTCCTTTATTACACCATCTTTAACTTTCTCAATTCTTGTGCCATCCAAACTTGAGTTGGGGAAGCTCAGTATGTAATCTCTTTGGGTCTTATTTCTTACTGGAACATAATACTTGATAAATCTGTCTTGAGTAAATGAATGAATGAATGGCTAATGGAAAGTGTCCATCCTCCAAGAATGTCCGTTCAGAAATTTCTAGACAGAAAAGCTGGTAATAACTTCCTCACTTTTTGCCTGTGAACCCAGAATTGCGCATGGAGGGAGTAAAAAAGAGTAATCTTGGAGCAGGGGGCTGCAAACAGAGGTCTGAATGTGGTGGTGTCTCGACAGGACCTAGACAGCATTAGAGCACCAAGCAACTAGGAAAAGTCATCAGCAGGACACATCAGGAAATAGAGGAGTGTGCTCACTCCATGCATCTCCCTAGCATTTAAAGTTCGCTGAGGGGCTGGAAGGAACATGGTTCCAGGTGATCTCCATGTCGGGCTAAAGGACATGAAACCTAGCTAGAAGGAACATTGCTCCACCACTGGCCCATCAGTTCTGTTTCCTACTCGGTTTTTGCTTAACGAGTTGTGGTGTTTAGAGTTGGGAAATACATGGAGAAAGTCACTTTTTAAGAGAGGATCAGAGATCCGCAGGCTCATTTCACTCTATAAATGCCGCGGACATTTGGTTCCAGGACCTGGACAGTTCTCTCCAGAGACCGGTGGGCCCCTCCAACTCCTCCGTGGTTTCCCGGAATCAAGTCTCTCACCTAAAAGGAGCGCAGAGGGCGTGCAACTGGCGGCAGACGCGTGACCAGAGTGGAACCAAAAGTGGGCGGCCTGGGAACCTAAGGCGTGGCCAGAACTTAAGGTGGGCAAGTGCGCGTGCGCCGGATGCCCGTGGCCAATGAGGAACGTAGGATTGTGGCACGTGGCCTAGGAGGACGGCCAGGACTGGCCAGAAAGGAGACGTGTGGAATGCAGGAAGAGATGTGACGCGGACCAGACGGGTCTTGCCTGTTCCTAGAGAAAGGAAGGGGTTAGCCACGGCGGGAACGGCCCCGCCAGTGAGGAGCGCAGGCACAAGGCTTAGCGGAAGAGGCGTGACCCAGGCGTACCGCAGGGGCGTGACCCGAACGAGCTGTCCTAGGCCCTTACGTGAAGGGCGTGGCGTAGTACCAAGGGTGTAAAAAAAGATATTCAAATTGGCGGGAGGGTCGGCATACTTTAGGCGGAGTAAGGACGTGGGCCCAAGGGAGGGAGGTAGGGTAGGCAGAATAGTTGTGACTGGATGATCACTGGTATGTGAAACGAACTGCGCTCAGAGGCGCAGACTGGCTGAAGCGTGGAAAAGTGGCCACAACTGGAAAGGCAGGCAGCGGAGTAGTGACGGACAGGGGAGGTGGCGCGAAAAGGGAAGTAGGGACCTGACGTAGTTGGAACGCAGAGACGTGCCTCGAACGTGTGGGCGTGCCTTGTTGCTCTGACGGGCGTAACAAACATGGTGGAGCAGGCGGAGGGCAGAGGTTGGGCAAGTTAGCGTGCAGGCGCGTAGCAGCGACAGGAGATGTGTAGCCAGAGCGCAGAGCTGGTGTGGACTCCGGCGCAGGGGAAGCGTGGTCAGGGCGAGATTTGAGCCTAGGTCGGGGACAGAGGCAGGACTGATAGGGGCGTGGCCTGGAATGACGAAATGACGTTTGCTGCGTGGGGACGTGGCTAAACGTGAGGGGGCGTGGGCAACATGGCCCCGTGCTGGATCTTCGGGTCCCGGGAGCGAACGCGGAGGTTCTGACTCAGGTAAGTCGTTCGGGTAAGGGCGGGAGGCAGTAAGGAGCGTGGGCAGCATTGGGGGGTGGTCTGCCTGAGAGGGCAGGAACTCTGCCACTTGCCGCAAACATGACCGCGTGCCGCTATCGGCTCTGGAGCCAGAGAGGCTTTTGGTTCCGCGAGGTTGGCCGGGGTCCTGGCGGGGCTTCTCGGAGGAATGGGAGTGGGAGGCTGGCGTCGGGGAAGTAGCCACTTCCCCACTCTAGCTCTCTTTCTCCACTTTGAGGATCACCAGACATCCTTTTAGGATTCTGTCTATTAAAAAGTAGAACAGCTTTCCCAGAGACATTGCGGGATGAGAGGAGTGCATTTCCAGAAACTGAGGAGCAGCAAGCTGGGACTCCCTCGGGTCTGCATTGTTGATCTTCCCACCTGACTATGCCAGGGGCTGTGGACAGACACAGCCACCCCAGAGTAGATCAAAAGCACAGTTGTGTCCCGTGGACAAATCTGAGTTTTTCTGTTGTGCCCTGCCCCAGAGCCGGAGGAGAGGAACCTCCAAAATGCAGACATTCTTGGTGACTGGGATTCTGTGTGATATTCAGCGTTAAATGCTGCTGCTCTGAGGCTGCTGGAAACGCGTTAGTATTAATATCAGTGTACTTCCCTCACGTTTACTTTTGCTGGAAAAGCTTGGGAAATGAGTTAACGAAGATGCATAAACCTTAATTTGTTTATATGCTCTCTGTTAGCCGTTGAATACCACATTGCTTTCTGCCTTCCCTTCTTCCTTTACTGATAATCTGACCATTTCCACTGTGCACTTTGAAAGTCTTGCTGGAGTTTGGAGAATAGTCAGAAGTCTCTGATAAGAAATGCTGCCCCTGCGCATCTCTCAGAGGAGTCACTATTCGCAGCGCCTGCATCAGAGTCCCCAGTGAACCAAAGTTCACCCCACCTCCCCTGTCTTCAGGGACTTAGTGAAAAGCTGGACTGTTCTTGAATATTTTGGAAATGAAAAACTTTCTGGGCTATTTTAAATCAGTACCTGGGCTGGAATTAACCGAAAGGCCAAAACAGCAAGGACACCATTCTCTGTGCCTATACGTAGCTGCCCTGTTCTTGGAACCAGGCAAAAAGGCTGCCACTGCTCACAGTTGCAATGGAATAAAGGTTGAGTGCCTTGTGATTGCATATGAATATTAAGGAAATCTGATGGAAAGAGGGAAATTCATCATGTCACTGGCCACACTGGGGTACGTTAGTTGCAACACACAAATCAGGTATAAGAAATATATTTTGAAACCTTTGGCAACCTCAGATTGGGATCACGCTTTCAAGGAAGAAGTGAGTGAGAGGAGGAAGCTAAGCTTTCTTAAGACATAGCAGTGTAATATCTTAATTTAAGTTTCAGGAAATTGCAGAAGGCAGGCTTCCTTTTGAAATCAGGAGTTGAGAAAATGAAGAGTCAATCTGATGCCAATCAAGGAATTTTTCAGTGTAACCTTTTGTTAGTACTTTTCCGTCTGTTTTGCGTAAGTCACTTAATCAGGCAGAGTTCAAACTATGAGGCATTTAATAAATACTTATGACATTTAAAGACTTAGAATCTTTTCTTTTTTTCACACATTTCTAAGGTTGTAAAACAACAGAAAAAGAACATGTTAGTAATATCCAAGGCATACGTGCATAATCAGTGATAGCAAAGGATGTATAGCACAAAAGACTTAGCTCTCCTAGGCCCTATCCAGCCACAAACTGGTAATTGTTGAAATAGAGTATTGGATATATAGGTGATTTATTCTCACCATTTTTTTGTACAAGTTTGAAGTTTGCCCTAATAAGGGGAAAACAGATTCTAAATTCAGTTGACCCATGGTCTATTGCTGTTTAAACCTGTTAAGTGAATTCAGATAGTGAAGTTATTTAAAAACCAGATGCTCTCACCTGGCTCCAGGTACTATCAAGATAAGATATTGAAAGCTTATTGGCAGTCTGTCTTTTAAATCCTGAGCCAGACTTTTACATGGCTTCAACAAGGTGATTTTTCATCTCCTTAGACATTTTGACATACACACTCCCACTAAAAACTGTATTTACACAAACACAGATAAAACGAAACAAAAGTGATTTTAACTTTGGTTTGAGAATTGTCAACACCTTTTAGGCAACGCAGACATGCTTTAGGTGTCACTGACTGTTAAGAGTTGAATTGCATTCTCCCATCTCAAATTCATATATGTTTAAGTCTTAAGCCCCAGTACCTCAGAATGTGACCTTATATGAAGATTGGGTCTTTATAGAGGTAATTACAGTCATTAGGGTGGCCACTAGTCCAATATAACTGGTGTCCTTAATTAAAGGGGAAATTTGGACACAAGATGAAAATGGCTTATGAAAATTGGACTTAATGCTGACACAAGCTAAGGAATTACCAGAGGCAAGGTTTATTAGGTGTTCTCCAGAGAAACAAAACCAATTGTGTGTGTGTATGTGTGGGTGTGCCTGTGTGTGTCCATGTGCACACGCGTGTGTGTGTGTGTTTAGGGAGAGAGAGATTTATTTTTAAAAATTGGCTTGTGAATGTAGTCTCATGAAATTTGCAGTGCAGGCTAACAGGCTGGAGACCAGGGAAGAGTTGATATTACAGCCTGTCTTACTCAGTTTTGTGCTGTAACAGAATACCTGACACTGGATAATTTCTAATGAACAGAAATTTATGTGGCTCATGATTCCAGAGGCTGGGAAGTCCAAGGGCATGGTGCCAGCATCTGCTCAACATCTAGTGAGGGCTTTCTCTTGCGTCATCCCATAGCACAAGGCAGAAGGGCACGAACATGTGCATGTGAGGGGTGGGAGAGGTTGGGGGTGAAGAAGGAGGGAAGGAGGGTAATGAGGCCAAATTTATCCTTTTAGCAGGAACCCACTACCTCAGAAACTAACCAGCTCCCCCTAATAATGGCATTAATCCATTCATGAGGGGAGAGCCCTCATGATTTAATCACCTCCCAACACTTTTGCATTGCAGATTAAGTTTCCAAAACGTGAACTTTGGGGACACATTCAGACTGGATTGTGAGCACAAACTGGTGCCATGGCACAGCTCCAGTCCAAAGGCAGTCTGGAGGTAGAATTTCCTCTTCCTCAGGCAACCTGTCTTTTTTTCACTTAAGGCTTTCAACTGATTGGGTAGGGCCCACCCACATGAGGGGTAATCATCTTTATTCCAAGTCTACTGATTTAGATGTTAATCTCATCTAAAAAATACATTCACAGTGATATTTAAACTGGTATTTGACCAAACATCTGGGTACCATGACCTACCCAAGTTGGCACATAAAATTAACCATCCAAGTAGAAAGGCCTGGGACAGAGCTCTCATTGCCCTCAGAAGGAACCAACCCTGCAGAGAACTTGGACCTCAGATTTCTAGCCTCCATAACCGTGAGACAAAAATTTTTAAGCCACCCAGTCTATGGTACTTTCTTTTTTTTTTTTTTTTTTTTTTTTGAGACGGAGTCTGGCTCTGTTGCCCAGGCTGGAGTGCAGTGGCCGGATCTCAGCTCACTGCAAGCCCCGCCTCCCGAGTTCACGCCATTCTCCTGCCTCAGCCTCCCGAGTAGCTGGGAGTACAGGCGCCCGCCACCTCGCCCGGCTAATTTTTTTTGTATTTTAGTAGAGACGGGGTTTCACCGTGTTAGCCAGGATGGTCTCGATCTCCTGACCTCGTGATCCGCCCGTCTCGGCCTCCCAAAGTGCTGGGATTACAGGCTTGAGCCACCGCGCCCGGCCTGTACTTTCTTACAAACTAATACATTGGCCTGAAGACCTCCAGTAGGGAGTCAAGCCTAGAGGTAAGGAACCTCTATGGGATTCACAAACTTCCTACCAGTCCCCTTTAATGTAATGGCTGCACGTCTCTGGCTCCCTGAGTTCAGCGCGCATTCGCAAAGTGACACATACACAAAGCAAAGCGCATGGCACTGTGCCAAAAGACTGGCTTCTCATCCTGCTGTGCTTTACTTCACAGTGCACATAGAGATGATTCTCGCTCCTTTCACATAGGTGTAGTCTTCCCTCTAGCTTAGATGGAGCAGGGTCAAGGACAGCAGTGCAGAGGAGAGGAGCTAGTGCACAGCCAGTTACTAGCATGAATGTGCACAAAGAGAGGGGAGGATAAAAGCACGTTTGCCTCCTTGCTCAGCATCACTGAGGACTATGATGTGGGTTTTGTATCTTACACTCTTCTTGGAAAGATGGTATGAAGAAATAAAGTTCAGATTTGTAAGGGAAATGTGTCTTTAGTGCCCCTCAACTTCTATGTTTGTGTCTTTTGCCACCCATTCCCACCTACCCCAACCCCCACCCCCACCCCAGCATGGCCATACTGCTGAGAGCCCATCTTTTGGCAAGAGAAGGCAGAATCTGAGGTGGCAGAAACACCCTACTGTGAACTGGTTTGCTCTGTGTTTGTCTTACCCATACTATGTGCATTTCAAGAGACTCCTAAGGGAGAAATTACATACCTGGAAGGCACAGTTCAAGTCTTGGTCATCTTTGCATCATAGCACCCACCACTGTGCTTGGAGCAAAAGAAATGACAATACATTTTGAAATGAAAGTGCTAACTGGCAGAATCCCAGCCCTGTGAGACTAGATGGGGTTCATCGGGAGGGTCCTCTTTTAGATCAGGCAGGATTTGGGGGGTCCTTTGGATCTTTTAGCTAGGGATACGAGACCCTCTTCTCAAAGGAGAAATATTTAAAAGTGTTTTAAAAGTATAGACATCCCTACAAATGGGTGATGGCGTTGGAGAAAAGGAAAGACCCCTAGTACTGTGTCAGAGCGTGCTGGCAGGCATGTCACAGTTCTTAGTTGTTGAAATTAGGACCAACATCTTTGTCCCCAAGGGAGCCTACTCGGGGCACTTGACTAGTACTCCCAGCACCCATTTTGAATGAGGCACTGTGTCCCTAAGAGATGCAGCTCTGACCAAGGCAGACACGGTCCCTGCCACCATGGGGCGTAGA